TTACTTATTCATTGTTCTCCCAATATCCATCTCTTCCTCCTAGGTTACCTGCCCCTCCCTAGAAGCTATGGCCCCAAAGATTGGATAGCAAGATGACTGGCCCAACAACAGTGGGGCTTAGACAATATCCCTTGGAAAGTATAGTGCACAGCCCGGAGATACCCGCAAAAGGATCTCTGGGTCTTAAACCCCAGAACTTGTGAACATAATCTCGTTTAGAAAAAGGTCTTTGCAGATATAATTCAGAATCTTAAGAGATCATCCGGGATGACCAGGGGGACACTGTATCCAATGACAAGTGCCCTTATAAGAAATAAAAGCAGAAAAGGCACCAGGAGAAGTGAAGAAGGGCAGGTAAGATAGAAGCAGACATTGGAGTGACACAGCTACCAAGAACTCTGAGAGCCACTGGAGCCTGCAGGAGGCAAAGGGCTGTGCTCCAGAGCCTCCAGAGAAAGCACGGCCCTGCCAATGCCTTGATTCCAGACTCCCGACTCCAGGATGGAGAGGACACATTTCTGTTGTTTCAAGCCACCAATTTTGTGGTAATTTGTTATGGCACCCATAGCAAATTAATATGGAGTGTAAAAGCTTTTCAGTTTCAAGGACAGGATTGCAATGAAGCTTCCAGAATCTGCCCCACAGGGGAGCCTGTCTGCCTATCTGGACCATTCAGCCAAGGATCATGAGCATCTGGGGTTTCCTCTTACACCCAGGGCTCCCTGGTGTCCTGGCAGAGTTCACCACCTGTAACCCTAGTCACCTGAAGTTCTGGTTCATTTCTGAGGATGTTRGCAGTCTCCTTCCACAACTGAATCCCTGTTTTTGAGCTGTTGCTCACATACTAAAATCATATCCACGTTAATGCCCTCAGGCCTGAATAGACATTGAGCCTCACCCCTGAGATGCACTCCCATCTCATTCCCATGGGCCAGGCACTCCCTACCACTCCTGTACTATTGACCTGGGTCTGAACTTAGATGGGACTTGCATTTTGTATTGTGAATCACCTGTGTTGGTGATGCAGAAGATAGAGGAATTGAAGGTGCTGCACCTGTCCCTTGTACATATCGGATGTTCTTTAGGGGTTTTTCACCCCTGCTATTCAAGATGTGTCCCTGAACTTCAGATAAACTCATCTAAACTCCTATCCCTGTTTCATGATTTAATATCTCATTTAGATATTTTCAATAAGTCTTATGTATTATTTGTGTTTCTCATGGAGTTGCATGTAAACTTTTCTCCTTTCATCTATTTATTTAGGATATTTTCCTTCTAAACTTAAATAAGCTACTTCATAACTGACTCAGATATCCCAGTGCAGCATGATGATCAACTTGACTGGGCTAAAGGATGCCCAGATAGTTGATAAAATATCATTTACGGACATGCCTTATGAAGGTGTTTCCAGAAGAAATTAGCATTTGACTCACCCTTACCAACGTAGGTGGGCATCATCCAACTCACTGAAAGATCTAAATAGTATAAAATATATAGTATAAAAATGTATAAGAAGAGCTTACTCACATTCTTTGCTTGAGCTGGGGCATCCATTTCCTGTCCTTAGACATCAGCACTCCTGGCTTTGTCCATATCTGATAATATCATAGAGATTTTCCCTACAACTATCCAGAATACACATAAGATGCAATAGCAGCAAGCCTCTGCAAAGAAAATGTGTCAACACAAAAAGAGGGGGGAGGGTAATGATTAAAAACTATAATTTTTAAATTACAAAAATGTAGAAGTATCATAAAAATATTATTAATCAAAAGGGTAGTTTTCTGTTTTATAGATAAAACCCAACACTCACTGTATACATTTTATTATAAAAAGTGACACAAGGCTAAATCATCATAATGTGAATCAATAACTAATTAGCATTTATAAATGCAGCTACTGGGAAACATATTTCAATTTCATTGCAAGGAAGCTGGAGAATCAATTAATAAAGCCAAAGTGAAAGCGAGGACTTGTGTGGCCTGCCTCTGCTGGCTCCACAGGCATGGTAGGTTTGCAAGTTGAGTCAATGCTGTGACCACAAATGTACAAGTATAGCCTGGTGCCACTCTCCCAAGCCAAGCCAATAAAATACACACACACAAAAAGATGAGGTCTGAGACCCTCAGCTTCCCACCAAAGTCATTGCGGAAATGGTCATTTTCCAGATGGCCTCATGGAGATAAAGGAGACAGAAGGAAAGAGGGAAAGCAAGGACACTATACAAGAATTGCTGCTTACATAGAGTTTTGGAAAGAGGCAACAGTGCAGGGTCTGGTGCAGTCATAAAAAAACTGATTCAAGAAGACAGATGGCTTTGAATTTGGCCTGCTTTTCTTCTTTCTTATTTGACATGCATTAAGATTGAAATGGAGGAGATAAAATGAGCAACAATTCAGTTCGCCATTGCAGCCGGTATTTGTTGGTTTCCTGGCATGATTTTGTCACAACTCAATATATTTACTTAGCTGTGGCTGAGTGATGACTTGATCTAGTTCCATCTCAATCAGATGCAGCAGCCTCTTTATACCCTAAAGGCTACCAGAGAGACTAATTGGTCCTCCAATCAAGAGCCAAGCATAATGGAGGTGGGGAGGATTGAAACACACACAGAAGAGTAAATGTGGAAAAAAGGAATAAATGAAAAGAAAGAGCAGAAATGAGAAGTGGCCACAGAGTGGGAAAATCAGGGTATTTCTTCCTGCATTTGAGACCCTATTGCTCAGAGCCTGACATGAACGTGATAGAAAAGAGAAGTCTTTTCCATACCTTCTGCCATATCCAATTGCTGTAGCTGCCTCCTTCCAGGCACAGGGTAATTCACACCAATATTTCATTAGTCATTATTCCAGCAAAGCTCTAAAACCCTGACCTACCCGGTGATAATGTATAATAAAGTCTGGCTGAATTCACAAGGTCTACTCTCCAGTCTCTCCTTTGGTGTTGCAGACCATCTGCCTTGCTAGCCATTTGGCTAGTGCCCAGAATATCCTGGGTGCTTTCTATTCCTGGACCTTGGGTTTAGTTCATCCTTGAGAGATTGCAAGTTGGTTGCCTCTAAGTTTTTAAAAAAACAAGCTAATGGATATTCCATATCCACTTTTGAAGCTTTTTATCCCACTTCCTATCCAACCTGCTTTTATTTTCAGACCTTCCAATTCCCAAGATTGGATTTAAGAGCTTCCATGCAGCCCACACCATGCAGCTTACCATGCCTTCCTAGGCTGGCACCCACTGKAATGGAAACTCAGAGGCTGGGAGAGTGCCAAGGTGACCACAGTGCCTGATACTACAACTAGCATATAGTTGGTGTTCAATAAATGAGACAAATAAACAAATGGATGGATGTTATACATCTTTGGAAATGATAAATGGATAGAAGAGCTACTTAGMTAATGAGGCCATAAGAAAATTCTGCCAATGGAAAGTGGAGAAACTGTGATTGTAGCTCATCAAAATTATTTTTTTTCTGAAGCCAGGAAGCAGCGATTGGGGTATGCAACACAGCAGACATATTTTGTACCCATCTACCTCAAATTTACTGACAGTCTTAAAGTAATAGGAGTATTTTGGCCAATCAGTGAGTCCCACCATTATGGCTCTACTATTTAAAATTTGCAATTTCTATTTTGCAGTATCTGCTCTACCTTCTCAGCTTCTATTCTGTCATAATCATCAAGAAACATTGTGCCTTCCCAAGGGAATCATTTTCTCTTCTCTCTCTCATATGAGTAGCCACCCTGGTTTAGGTAGTCCACCTACATACATTTCCATGAGGACAAGTGTCCAGGCCACTGATCTTTACTGTGTGAAGGTAGAAAACAYTTAGATTTTCCTCCAGGCCAAACAGTTATTTTTCCAGGACATTATGAACTTGTACAAAACACTGTATTTTTCTCCTGATGTAAACATAACATAAACTTTTCCTTTATGAGTGAAGAACACTGTTTTCTATCTGGCTACATCCTTGCATACAAATCCCTTGCAAATTAATTTTCAAATTCCAAGGTTCATTAATTTAATTGAATCTGTTCCTAGTTTTTAATTAAATCTGCATTTCTCCCAGTAACCTTCAGAAAAAGATAGGAGCCACATTATCATATTGGAGAGAACAGGATCACAGAGCAAGACAGACATAAAAGAGAAATACAAAATCACAAGGCAGGTTTCATATAAATTTATTTTTGTACCAAAAAAATGAACTTTCAAAGGCAATGTTTTTATTGTACAGTATAAAATAATTCCCACTAACTTAAAACTCGGGTTATTCTTCGCTGATAAACCACTAGTAGCTTTTCTATTTAAAAAAAAAATTTACAATTTGCAGCGTTTGTAGAAAAAGACACCTGTTCAATAATTATATAAATACTCTTGACAGATTTCAGTAGCCTATTATGTATCCTTTTTGGCAATGTCAGCTTTCTAAAGTCAATTAGCTTCTAAATTTGAAAGGCACCTGGTAGCCAACATACCGCTTGTTATTCAAGGCATCCATTTTAATTTTTTTTTACACAGGTTTGACAAGTCTGAAAAAAATCTATTAAGTTAAAAAGAATGAAGAAATATACTACATTTGATATCAGGAAACAGTATTTTTCCCCCTTAGCTGCAAGTTGTCCCCAAGGGATTTACAAAGTGCACCAGTTAAATATGTCTGTACATTTAAAACATTAAATATGTCAACAGTGAGACATTTTTTAAATATTTCGAATCAAATACTATAGCACAAATATAATTTACAACACTTTGCACAGAAAACATTACATCTGAAATATAACTTTAGATATTATATAAAAATACATATATTTTCTCTCCTCACTAGAAAAAGTATTGTTTGCAGGTTCCAGCATGATGTAACAATTCAAAAGAACTTAACCCTTCAGAAGATCATCTGTTTACAATGAGATGATACCCTCTTCACTCGAGGTGCACAGTGGCCCATAAATCATGGGTTTGATCCAGAGAGCTCACCCCTCTTGGAGCCCAAAGAGCAACCATACTTGCTCTAATCTGGTTTAATTCTAGGAATTCATTACAAAATTGTAAAACCATTGTGTAACACGCCACCATAWGTCCAAGCTCACCCATTGGCTGTACATATGCATATTGTCTACAGGGTTGAGAGCATGGATAATGAGTTTGTACCATTGCGGGCCATGCCTCTTAGTAGTCTTACACACCTATATACATATTTCTTGGCTTGTTTAAGAGAAGTTTCCAAATATCTACGAAATATGTGATAATGCTCCACAGAATAGGTCTCAATCTATATCTCGAACTTTAAAAGCCCCAAAGTACGTTGCATCTTGATCTGGATCCAATAGGGAAGGGTTGGACACTTCAATGCTTATTTCTTCACCAGACCGTAGCTTAAAAAATCCTCCAACATTTATGGAATAAAAATGGAACTCTGAATTCCCTGACCAGTATTTGGTGCTCCCTCCTTTCATCAGGGTGTGAGAACTTGGGATTTTGATGCTGGTTTTAGTGACATAGACCATCAGCTGAAGATACTCGGTTGCTAGATCTCCCGAGGTTTCATGATGTCGAAAGCAAATGTTGGCATACAGGTAATAGAAGCCATCTTGGTTAACCACTAGTTTTCCATTGTTCAAAGTCATATTGGAGATCTTGGCCCAACCCCGGTCATGGTACCAAGAGGACAGACTCACTTTGTGGGAACCTGTGGAGAGAGAGATGCCTGATTTACAATCCACTCCTGGAATGAGAAAGACAGTCTCACAATTCCATGAAGTCAGAGCAGAAAACAGCTTAACTGTCATTGTTCCTAGGGGAGAATAACTTCTTGGAATTTATTTTTCTATACAGGGAGAAATACATTCAGATGTATTTAGTGCTCTTTGGTAGGCACATTAAAGGGTACAAAGGCCAAAAATCTCACTTTTCCTGCCTCAAGGAAGCTGCAGTACATTAGAGTTAAGTATAAAATGGGCTCAGACAAGAGGCAAGGTGTTAGAACTGAAGGGAGAGGTACAGATAATTGCTATGGGAATTCAAAGGGGAGAGAGATTATTTCCACCTAGAGGGATCAAAACTGACTTTGTGTTGTTGCTAACTGAGCCTGGGAACTTAAAAAGAGGAATAGGATTCAGCTCCACAGACAAGAGCAGACAGGTCATTCCAGATTGACGAAAAAGGATTAGAAAGCCAACCACCACAGCAAAGCAAGAAGCTAGCAGAGAAGGAGAATCCTCCTACCTCACATGTTTCTGCCTTTTCTTTGATTCTATGGAGAAGGATATGTAGGAGATGAAAATCTGGGTCACAGTAACTTTGAGCAAATGGCCAAACTCCTAAAATCTATTCTTATCACCATTTATTTTCCCCACCTCTAAAAGCCCATATGTCTCTCAGGCTCACACACTAAAAAGCTATTCTCAGAGCAGCTGGAAAAAAAAAAAAAAAACACTTCATAATCCATTGTGACCAAAGTATAGTAAAATTTCTCCCCTGTGACCAAATGTTCCTTTAGTTCCTCCTCACTCCTGGAATGAGGTGACAACAATCCTCATGCTTTTACCAGAGCAGTGAAGAATTTCCAAAGAATATTCTAAATCAGGAGCAAGTCCAGTACTTTTTTTTTCATATTATAAGTCTCTAATGTATTTTTACTGGCTTTAAAAATTGGTAATACCTCTATGATGTAATTAATTAATCAAAGATTTATATTTATTTGGATACTTATTATTCTACTGGAAAAGATGATAACTAATGAAACACTAAGTAGAAACACTATAGAAAGTCTAGAAAGATTTTTTTTTTCTTCAGGGAATTTTGTACATACTTAGGCTAACTGAAGGTCATCATCTCTCTGACATCAAAAGTCAAAACAGAGCTGAGTCTCAGATAGGTTGGGATTAGTTTCTGCAGTTCTGAGTTCCTGGCTATTTGTTATGACTGCCCAACAACTTAAGTCAGGTCTTGAGACAGTGAGGTAAAGAAATTGGCCTAGGGTCTTAGTGGATCCTCTGGTTAGGTGGATTCTAGGAGATCCCTGTAGACTAAGACACCYACTCAAGGTACATTCCCAGACTTGCCTGAGTCCTGGAGAACACTGAACATCTCATGCACCTTCCCCAAGAGAGTCACAAGTTGGAGAACATTCTACTGTCTCGGGGGTAGAGCCTGGAACCTCAAAAGCAGACTATTCCAAAGGCCAAGCAGGAAGTAGGACAAATAGAGGGGGAAAATGTGACTTGGCCAGTCTACAGTGGGGCAACCCATCATTAGAAGACCAAGAACCCAGTGATTCCAATTCCCCGATGCAGAAACAGAAGCCTTCCAGAGCTCTGCAGCTATCCACAGAGGGGCCACCACAGTCACTGCGGCTTCAAGGGTTATCCACAGCAAGCTCCCTTCTTTTTACAGAGGAGGTCTTATTWCATAGTTTACTCCAAATGTACACATCATCCTACAGTCCCAAGAGAGTCAACATGAGACAATAGRACCGTATTCACCACATTGTCATAAACACTAGTGAAACAATTCCTCCAGGCTGGTAAATAGCTGCCTAATTCATGGACAGAGTTAATGAAAGCTGTTTCCCACCTCAAGCCAGGTATGGTGGCTCATGCTTATGATCCCCAAAGCTTGGGAAGCTGAGGCAGGAGGATCTCAAGTTCAAAGCTAGCCTCAGTGACTCAGCAARGTCCTAGGTAACTCAGTGAGACCCTGTCTCTAAATAAAATACAAAAGGGAGGGAGCTGGGGATGTGGCTATGTGATTAAGCCCCGCTGGATTCACTCCCCAGGACAAAAAAAAAAAGTTTCCCTCCTCAAATTATCCCATACTACCTCCTACTTGTGTGCTGCATTCAATCCTTCAATTAATTATCTTATATCTCTTAACAGAGAGAAGCAGAATAGTGACATGAAGTCTATCCATTCAATGGAAGGGATTAGTTCATGTTAGAGTGGGATATGGCCAGAGAAGGCAAGAAAGAAATCTGAAATAAGAACTTTAACATTATACCACTCTTATGATTAGGGAATTCAAGTAGAATACATTGTTCTTTTCTATGAAACATCTCTGTTTTTATCCATCCACTGACTCATGTATTCACAGATTCATTCTGTTGATCTGTCATGAAATAACAGTGTTGTGCTTTCTATAGACATTCATTCTGTCCATAATTAAGAATTATATCAAGTCTTACACCATCATGACACAACTAATCATAGAGAAAATTAAAAATGAGCATACAAAACACAACATTTTCATTTTTGCTGTTGCAAAGCACAAGGTTGACATTCAGTGACAAAAAATTTCCAAGCAAAAGCTGCAGCAATTCACAATGATTGGGAAAACTGAGCTCAATGAGAGACAGAAGGGCTAGACAACAGGGAGGATTTGAGTCAAATCTGGACTGAGAAAAGGGAGTATATTGGTGAGGAAAAGTGTTTGAGTGTTCACAGCATCAACAGAAGAAAGTCAGGGAAGCTAGATATTAAGAAAAGAGAGCTCACATGTAGACAACAGTGGGGAAAAACATGAGAAAAAATATGCTGTGATTTGATTGGAGGGACTCCATATCACCCTGGGTTTCCAACACCCATGAGGTGTGCTGGTGGCCTCCTAACCCAGGCTCCCCAGCTTCTTCAGCCCTATGCTATGGTCCAGACTTCTGCAAATAGTTAGCCTGAGCACCCTAAAGAAAGCTGCATATTCTGACCCCRCAAAATACTTCCCAATGCGTCTTATGCAAGAAGCTTTGAAAATGCACAGATCTTGTAAGGCAGATCCTAATTTCATATGTGTAAATAAATGTGAAACAAAGCCATTAAAATGCAAAATTAAACCATCTTGCTTTGGCCAACACCGGGAGATCAATGAACTTAAGGGGATGTTGGCCCACCAGAGCAACAAATTCTATTTTCTTATGCAGAAGCATATACTGACACATTTCCCTTAGTCACAAACCCAATAACTGTCAGAAAATAACCAGGAGTTCTTTCTTGTTATTTTGGCAATAGTTTGATTCTAGGTGCCTCAGAGAGAAAGAGCTTTGTAACTAAAACATGCTTGCTATTGCCAAACCGACTTTGGCACACAGTCTAATGTAATATTTATYATATGCCATTTAAATGAACTGAAAAGATAAATGTAGGGTACATTCATAGCACATACGGCTGATACATAAGTATTAATTTGATTGCCTTTGCTAATGTGCAAAATAGTTTTCCACTCAGGGAAAATTAGTGTAGCTCCATCATAAAGGACACACAGACAAAGAGACAAAATTTGTTTATGGAGCAAATATCTGGGACAGGAATAGRTAGAATAGAAAATCCTCTAAAAACCCAAGTGTTAGTTTCTTACTTTCTAATGTCTCCAATCAAGAAATAGCCCTCCATGGTCCATGCTATGATAATGGCTTCAAAATCACTTACTAAAATCTGGTACTTTTAAAAACTTAATTAAAAAAAATAAAACTTGCCTTAAGTCATTTGTACAACCAAGTGGAATAGTTATAATTATTTAAATAATCTCAAATAAAATAACAAATCCCAATCATGGAATGCTTTCCATATGCCACAATCTTCACAGCTACCCCATGAAGCAAGCAATATCTATGCCCATTTTAGACATGGCAAAGCCAAGGCAGAGTCTAGTAAATTGTGCATGGTCATGGGTCCAGTAAGCAGGCCAGTGGCAGTCAGATTTTAGAGTCCCTGTCATGAGATACTCCACTAATCTAATTCTTAAAGGAAAAGAGAACTTAAGGGCTTTATTTTCCTGGGACAAAGCCAACTTGCTACAAGTACTATGTAGTCTGCTTATAGGATAATGTATAGCATAAAAAACATAGATTTAGGGATTAACTGAGTGGAATTCAACTTCTAATCCTTCTACCTCTGTGACTTTGAGCAAATGACAAACTATATAAACCTCTGTTTCCCTCTCTGCAAATTCTGAATCACAGTCACTGTGCCTCAACATTAGAGCAAGGACTACAGATAATGAACACAGACCCAAACGTCTGATCCATAAGTGGATCAGACATATTCAATACGTGTTCAATAAGTGGCATCATAATAATTAACAATGGTGTTCAATTATCACTCTATCTAATGCTTCTTGTCACCTTTTGATCCTTACCTAGCCCAAGGTGAGTGAGCAGTGGGTAGGATGATGGAATGCCCAGGGCATTAAGGTAGCTACAAGCACAAAGCTCTGGGTTTCCTCACTTTCAAAGGGTAATCAGGTCTCCGGGCCACTGAGCTAAACCCTACCCAGAGGAAATGACTGGTCTCTGAAGAAGGGGGAGAWTGTCTCATTTTCCAGAGGACTAGTGTCTCTTATTAAAGACCATGCTGTTGAGCTCCTCTGTGGGTCTCTACAGCAAATGGCTAAGTAGTTAACTACCTGGAGGAACTCATGCACCTCAGAGGTCAGCAATGGGGCTTTGTTACCTTTAGTGTGGGTAAAAACAGATGAGTACATCAAGGGATTGTCCTTCCCAATGATGTGATCTCAACCCGCAGTCATTTGAAATAAACAGGTATAGTCTGATGATCTGAAAATGAAGTCTGCTGCTCCAGAATGAGAAGTGCTGGCTGTGGGGATTAGGAAGAGCAGGAACCCTGGGGTGTGGTGATACTCAGAGATTCTCTCTTAGCTGGAAGTCGAGGCCAGAGGGGAGAAAGCCAGAGGTCTTGCATGGCCAGACCTCTCTCACAAGTCTCAGAATGACAGCCCTTGGTGATGATCTCACTCAATACCTTAGAATCCCTGGCTTAGGACTTTTCTTGAATGAAAACTCTGTTAACATAGGCAGCAGGGTCAGTCATTGACCGCCCCCCCCCCACACACACACACATAAAAGCAGATCCTCTTCTCTCCTGCTGTGGGGATTTGGAATCCCATATGGCTGGCCCCAAAGGCCCTGCCTATAGATACCAGGTGGCCAAGGCTGTCTCTGATGGCACAGAGGGAAGACCTGGGTACTGGCAGCAGCACAGGACACAGTGGTTCTGCCACACCATGTTTGCTTTGGGGTCACTTGGACCAGGTGTGAACATATGGCAGCTGCCACTTAAAGGTCAAGGAATCCTCCTCTCCTGCTTCTACAAGGGAAGAAGTAGGAGACTTCACTAGTCCTCATCCTCTGGTCGTTCTGGGAAATTATAATGTCCATTTCCAAGACATGGATCAACTGAAGACTAATGATTTTTTTTTCCCGCTCTTGAAAATTTCAGTAACAGGCTAATAATATTTTCGATTGTGTGAATGGAATGGTAAGTGATTCTCGAGATAGTTTTATAATTAAAATAGATATAATTAAAACTTACCTGATGGGATGTTGGTGGCATTAATAGTGAGATGAGCAAAAGGTTGAGTTTCAGGCTTGCCCCTTTTGGCCAGATCAAACCAGGAACCTTCCATCATAGCTGGAGATGAGAGAAAGCACATTAACCCAAGGCTAGTGACCCTATGGGATCTCAAATAATCACAGATTCATGATTACCTTTCTCTGCTCGGATGTGCTGTGACCCAACAATATGTTGTAACTCCTGAAAGAAAAAGGAAAAAGAGTTTCATTTATAAGCTTATTCTTTCTGTAAAGCAGTAGGACAATTCAGGAGTGTTAGACATGTGATCAATGAACCCTCTTTTCCTTCAAAAGATGCCAGAAGTGCAGACAGTGAAATTTCTGGATTATCTCATTAGCTATCAAAGAAGGTTCACCCCTAAAGAATTGGATGTCATTGTGCTTAAAAAGTCAACCATGCACACCATTCAACAAAACCCTTTGGACAATAGGGAGGAAATAGAAGACAATGTAAATTATAAAACACAAAATAATTGAGCATAATTAAAAACTTGTAGCAGGTACACAAATGGAGATGAAGTTAACTAGGAACGTCACAATTACAGGGAATATATGACCCTCTTAAATCCTCAGGGAGGCTCTATTTATGTCTGTTTCATTAGTGAATTCCTGTTACAATGCTGAAGCTCAGCCCACAGGAAAGAGAATGATGCCTGGCTCCCAGTGGTTAATTTTTTTATTTTAAAGTCACAGTGTATTTAAAGTACTATATGGAAGTCTAAGAGCTTTTAGAGTACCAATAATTAACTCTAAATATTGCTCCAAATAGAGGTCTAGAAGCATAAGCCAGAAAACGAACAAACACGAGTGCATAAAGAGTTTAGGTAATTGCACATCTCAATTTGAGCCCTCAGAATGAAGGCACCAATAGGTAACATATGCCCACCTGAAGCCAGACATTAGCTAGCATTAAATGTGCCATCATGGGACCTAATAAGGTGGAGTGGATGAGAGCCCAGGCTTTCACACGGTTCAAATCCTTCATAAACTAGGATATTAACAGCCCTTCTATCATCAGGTGGTTAAGAAGATTAAATGAGATAATGCAAGTAGGCACTTAGCTGAGTGCCCAGTAAATTCAGATATACAGATACTAGAAATGCTAGAGAGATTCCTAACTTCTGTTACTAAGGATAACCATTCATGCTAGCCCCAGCCATGATGTTTAAAGGACAGACCATATAGAGCTTCAGTTTTTTGAGTGTCTGGGTAGGAGGGCTTTGAATAGATTAGACAGATAGGCAAACAGATAAATGTAGACAGATGGATTCCAATAGATACAATAATACAGCTTCCATTGTTATAACCTGGAAGTGTAATGGAGATAACATTTATTCTTTTCTGTACCTTCAGGACCTTCCCCTCCCAGAGACAGGAGAAACCTATTCTGTTTTTAATGACCACTGGAGGACACAACTCAGCTGTCTTCGCTTACCTACTTGAAAGTCCTAAAATCATTGTGTGGTAACTTTGTGAAATGAATCCTAGGGTTTATCTAAAGTCATCTTCTGCCCTGCCCTAGACTCAGGACACTGCACAGCCCTGGAGAAGCCATTTGCGGGCATTCTATAGGCCAATCCTTTTGAATTGAACAATACAGTTGGCTTCTTTCTGCTGTTCACCTCCAGCCTCCCAAGTCCCTTCTCAAGATCTTTGGATTCCCCATGGTCCCCCAGTGTTTGGAATTTCCTGGTTTGAGCTCCTCAGCATTCACAATGGAGATCATGATTTTAAACACACACACACACACACACATTGAATATTTTCACACATTTAAATACACCGTGAACACCGTGTATATTTATACATTGTGTATATTTTTATACATTTACATAGATATAGTATATCTTCATTCTGCATGAATTTATGCAATATATAAATGTATCTTTATGTGTTCTCTCATATGTATACATTGTATCACACTATACATTTATATATACAGGATTGTATCCTTATCCATTGTGTATATCATTACACATTCATAAATACATAAAGCTTCTTTTTACCTGATTACTAGCTCTTAAAAGATTGGAATAGGAACCTTGGAGACTTAAAGCTACCCTCTCATTTTCCCTCTAGCACTGATCTGCCTCACCATCAGAGGAGAAAGGAAGGAGTGCCGAACGAAGCAGAGCTAAGTATGGCATATGCCTGCAAATGCCAGTTTCGTGATTTTTCTCTGCAAACACCCTTATTATCTAGACAAACAAGGAAAGATCCTTTGTCCCTGCTCAGTGGTTTTCAAACTTGAGTGTGAATGACCACCTCAGGGAGGATGATGGAAGACAGATTGCAGGGCCAGCCCAGAGTTTCTGATCCAGATGGGAGGTGGGACCTGAGAATTTGCATTTTTAACAGGTGAGCTGGTGCTGTTGGCCTGGGACATCTTTTGAGTATGACAATCCCTTTCACATCCCCAAACATTCACAGATGGGCAAATGGGGAGGTTATCATGAAGCTTGAGACTTGGGCAGAAGCAGCAGAAGATTCAAGCCACTGATTAAACAGGCAGGGATTAGTTTGTTCATTCTCACCTCGGAACAAACACTTCTCGGCCATGTAATCAGTGACTTCTAGGTCAGAGCTGCCACAGACCCATTTAGTTACAAGAAAATTCAATAAATAGCACCTCTCAGAAGCACTTTCAATGACTGCTTGTAAAGAAAAAAAAAAAAAAAAAAGCTTCATGCCCCAGGATGAATGAAATCTCTAGAGACTCAAAAGGTAATGCTGCTCTTATGTTATATCTCTCAGGGATCCGAGAACTGCAATTTCTCTTAGAAATTCTAAAGGAAATTTTCAATTAAAAAGAAAAAAAGAAAGGGGGGGGGCTTGTAATATTTCTACAACTTTGAGTTACAAAAATTGTASCCCCAATATGTGTATCACCACCCCACATTTTTGAGTTCTAAAATCATTGTTATTTATGTACAAGCATGATATAGCATCCTCTAAGAGAACACTTTTAGGGTGTTTGGTGGTTGAGCACTGTAACAAAAATAAAATAAAATAAAGTTAACATGGGAATTCCAGTGAGGAACCTGGTTGTACTTTAAGGGAAGCTTTTGGGTTGCCTTGGCCCCGTCCACAGCCAGTCTACTTGATATTTTTTTTAAAAAATGCTCCCAGGTGATTCTAATATGCAGCAGGTGTTAGGAAACATTATTGCTAATTGAGTGTTCCCATGAAGAGCTGTTTGGTGACACCTCTGTTTATTCAAAGGTTTATTATAATCTCACAAATTATTTTTCTATTCCATGTACTGAAAGTTAAATAACTTCTTACATTTGTAGCTAACCAACTGTTTCCTTGCAGGATCACATTTTACTCTTATGAGAATCAGAGCCTGGATACCTATTATTAACCTCATTTTTCTAGAGAGAGAGTAAGGTCTCATCTAATAAAACTGGGGCTTGAACCTCTGTCTTCCAGAGCTACACCCATGCCCCTTTAGAAGGCATCATAACGAATGCTCTTGAGAGCCCCAAGAATCCTCAGAGCATGGTTGTTTCTCTGCAGTAGTTAACTCTGAGGAGGAGGCACACCTTGACTGGGCATCTGGCTTCTGGGTTCCCGGGTGTTACAGGGCAGAGGCCTGCCACAAAACTGAGGCAGCCTCAGAGGCCCCTTCTTCAAACGCTGATTCTTGCAATCATGCCAGGAAGATTTCAGACAAGTTGCTCAGAGTAACGGGCATGAGTTTATTAGACGGGATAAGAAAGGGGAAAGTGGGCACTCTCAAAGGAGAGAGCGGGTCCTCTTGGAGAAAAGGATGACATGACCCTCCTGCCCTCCAGTTTTATTGGGGGTCCCAGGGAGGTTTCTAGAGAGTCCCACTCAGGTTCACTTTTTGACTTTTGACTAACAGGAGAAGGATGACATCAGACTTCTGAGTCTCTACAGCCCACAACAACTCTGGGTCACTTTGGCCTAGGTTAACCAGTTCTAATTGGAACCTGTTCTTACAGATTTTGTGGCTAGAGGGAATTATCCTTATCTCCCTGAGTTCTGAGATCTAGTCTATGAAAGGGTCACAACAGTCCCCCTCTTCACTGTAACTTGCGTTCTTCTTATCAACATTTCAGGCCTTTGCAACATTGCAGATAACAGGTCGATCACAGAGAAATGTAATATGTCCTGTGGACTTAAGCCAGGCAGCAATGCAGATAAATTGCCTTTTAAAAGAGAAAGAAAGAAAGAAAGAAAGAAAGAAAGAAAGAAAGAAAGAAAGAAAGAAAGAAAGAAAGAAAGCAAGCATGTGTGGGTCATCACAGTGGGCCCAGATTATAGAATTATTCCCTTAACCTTATGTTCCCACCACTTGAATCTGTTCCCTATCACTGGAGAATGACAAAAGGAGCCCAAACCTCAGGAAACACGATCCCAGACTTTTAAGAGGCTTCAGAATGCAACTGACTCAAAACTGGTCAAATATGTTCTGGGCTAAACTGACAAATCCCCCAAACTAAGGCCTGCAGGCCCTATGAATAAGGGGCAGGACATCTGCTAACACGACAGTGTCAAGTCCGTTCCACAGAACAGAGCCACCCTACTTGGTCACCTCTTCAAGGATCAGATACTTTGCTACATGTATTCCAAGTATAGATCTTTCTCAAATGTCCCCCAATATTTTTGTTTTTTAATATTATAGAAACCCTCCCATGAAATGTACCCAAACTTCACCTCAACTAATAATTTCATTTATTTTCTAAGCTTCACATTTATACTGATTTTCATCCTCATTAGTCCTATATATCTCAAGTTAATGAGAGTGTTTTTAAATATGTAGAGTTCTTTATTCCTAAATCTTATTCAGACATTGCTTCTGGTTTCTTTGAATTCACAAAGTTCTAATAATCTAATTTGGGGAAAACACTACAAAGAGCATCCTAACTCCTTTTTTTTTCTGAACAAATTATTCAGATGAAAGAGATCTTTAAAAAAAACATATATGCGTTTTATCTTACTTTAAGCCAGCTATAAATTAATAAAACCAGTTAAATCTCTGGATAAACATCTAATGCAATCACATTACCTACACTAACAGAATGCCCACAGATTTGCATAAAGAAGTTCAGGTGGCTTTGACACATCTCCCAGAAAATAGCCTGAGAAGAAGCTCTGCAGGAACAGCTTTCAGTGTGAGCAAGCTGGGCAAAGGGCACTCCCAGCCTTCTTTTG